CTGATAGCTATAAGTGGGCTATAGCCCACTTTTCTTCTAGTCTCCTAAAACGACCTGGACTAATTTGACAGATTTAACCCTAGCAATCATGCATTGATATTTTAATATGGAGACTGGTGACAGCCACGATGAGGATTTGTGCCCTGGTAGCATTTTGCTGTCAAGTTCCCTGATAGCATTTAGGCGCTCTGGTCTATACATTTACTAGCCTGTTTGATTTTCGGACTAGTGCAGAGCAAGTAATCTAATCGGTTGACGGGGCTCGGTCTGTGCGAGGGAAAGAGCCTTTCTACTACACCTCGATGCTCAACCGAGTGCATTCTGCACGTCACGCCTGCGGGTTTCCTTTGCGCGTACACACGGATGCGGGGGTGCACGCACGCACCTTGTCCGGAACTTCTGACGCCTGTCTGGCGACCGTCTGTCGTCCCTTTAGCGACTAAAAGTAGTCTTGGCTATGCTATCAGGGTTTTTAGTGATACGGAAGTGCCGTATATTCCCCAATCTTGGGGAGGACAACCAACAATAAAAGGCAAGGCAACAATGCTTATTGTAACCGACTTTGAAACAATCTGTGATTGAAAAAAAGTTTCGATATGGATGAAGTCAGTTAGGTGTGCAAAAATTCGGTCAGCCTCTTGTGTCCAATCCTATACGTAATTCCAGTTTTCAAACTGTACTTTTTGTATCATTGAGTCAACTTCCTGTCTTGTCACAACATGAACAGAGCTGGGGACGCAGGCAAGCGGGAGTGCAATGATGGGAAAATGGGGACCAAGGGAATGTTCTTGTCAGATGCGAAAAACTGCGAAATCGAGACTCCACACCATAGGAAGTCGAGTAATATAACGTTGATTCCCAGCCTCCGCGAAATTTACATTCGCCTACCTTACACGATGTTTTTTTTGACCAGGAATATTGTGTATACTCTAATCTCCCCAAAGTTTTATTACTGGGTGCATAGTAACGGGTTGATATGTAACGCAGAAACTGGCCTCGCCTCCCGCCACGAGTAAAAGGCCTTTTGGAAGTCGTCCTGATGTAAAGTTGCGGCAGTCTAGCACAGCCGACGCCCTGACCGTGTTTTTGTTGGGTCGATAAAGCAAACAATGTCACTCGAACTGGTGTTGCTTACAGGATCCCGCACGCATTAAGACGTGCCTATAGGATCGTCATTGATGTCCTTTCCACCCTAAATATGCGCATGCAGGGCAGCGTCCGCCTAGTTAGTTCTTCGTGTGCTTATGTATTTTGGGATGCTGGGCTGGAAGGGAACCGAAAAGTGGGTGTGTTTAACCACCATGAGCTGAGAACGATCGTTAGAACTAAGTACATCGCGTTCGTATAGAAGAGGACAGTACACCCGCATCGACAACATCGAGAGGATACTAGTGGAAGGCAATTTAAGTAATCCGCGCACACTCCTCTCTACCCGCCCACAAGTTCATTGGTACCATCCTTTATCCGATTCAACATCTTACTGGAGCCAACAAAGAAAACTTCAGTTCAAAATTAGGCTGTGCAGGTTGTCAAGACACGAAGGTAGACCTTGGACCACTAACTTTCGGTATTCATTGTCAGAGCTAATTATGCCGAGCTTAACAGATCCGCTGCTGCAGACCATCGTGCTTGAGAAGTTACAATTCGCGTCTCCTTTTTGACCGGCTAGATCAGGCCTGATTGCAGCTACACCAACCTTATAAACACAGCTTGCACACAAAATGTTTTATTGAATTCGAAAGTGGCAGTTTTAAGTCATTTGTTGCCGTACGCCATGAGCACTCTTGGACTAAAAGGACCACACGACCGCAATGAAGATGATAAGGAGACGCGTTAGGCAGCATGTCCGATCTGCCGATTAAGGACGATCTTGCGGTACGTGGGAACCGAATTTGTGTTTTTCTTGTAAAATGAACTGAGCTTTCCGAGAAATGTATGGAAGCTTTTCCATGTGGACGCGAAACAACATCCTATTACAGATAGTATTGGAAGGACTCGAATACTGAAATTATGAGTCAGCATTTATGGCAACTCTTGTTGGCAGAAGAGGACTCGTATGCAGCCGAGTCTCGCGTCTTAGTCATCTGTGCTTTCACAGCACTGCTTATTTGACGACTATTCCCCTCCCGAAGGCCGTTCCATTTATCAGCTGCTCGTTGGCGTGTCAGACTTTTAAAGACCGTGTAAATGTAGCCTGACCACTAATTAATAGCCGTAATCCCACTAGCTCTTCGATGTTTCATGTTGCACTTTCCTGCGAAAATATGCGACAATGTTTGCACTTCCCACCACCTTGAAGCGTAAGTTTGTATGCTGTTCTTTACCTCTTTCGTGTCGGTTCTCCTCATTTTGCCCAAACGGCATCCTCTGATGTCTAGATAGTGTCACTATGCTGACGTATTTGATACGTAAAATTTTCCGACTGTATAGAAGTCAGCTGTAGGACCTGCTTCCAGAATTGCTCACATGGCCTAAGATTCGCCATCTGAAGCCCTTTACTATGATCTCACCAGAGATAAGATACGATTTTGCTGGTTTTTGGGTCAGCCTGGTGTACATTCTAGGAATCCTGTTCATCAGTAGGTGTATATGGTCTTCGATGCGTTTTCTAATAGCGCCAAGCTATGAATTTCAGTTATAACTGTGATTTTATTTTCATTTTTAACTGACATTTCCAAATCAATCAAAGAATTCCATTCTAAATCCTCCGAGAGAGACAGTCCGGTAACCTAACTGAGTAGAGCACTGACTTGATTCTCTGTGTCTCACCGAGGCAGACTTTAAACTTTGGATGCGTCTCATCTGGACCTGGGGCTTAACCGACTGATGATAGCTACTAAACCAAAAATGACCACTCTGCTATCCAATATCTTTCACGACAACACGTCGATGACAAATTCTTTCTTATTCCCTCCCGCATAGCAGCAACATGGTAACCGCCCCGATACTATCGGTGTCATTTGTCTATACATGGGGACTTTCTGCTGTGATTGGAACGCTAGGACTCCTCTTTTTGCTTTGGATTCGTAGAAGGTCCAGAAAATCTTCGAATACACACCTTTCGGATTCTTCTAATGCATCCTTTTTCTTCTCGAAATTCTGGTCGGTGGAGCCAAAGTCCGCTAAAAAGAAGCCCCTACCACAAATGAAAGTTCGACCTGTTCGATATGATATAGGTAAGTCTTGTTGCTCGTCTTGTTTACCTGTTAGAAGTTTAATACAACCACTGCCCCTGGATAGTGCGGCCGGCCATAGTGTACTCTCGTGAAAAAAATCGACCCACAGTCTGATTCTCGGCCGTCATGTCCAACGACATGTTAATAGCACATTGGTTTCATCTGGTAGCCTGGTATCACTCACGCCAATGACAAATTTCCAAGATAGGGTTGAGGTGTCGAGGTTTGTTGGATGGGAGTGCATAATTATCAGACAATAAGTGCTAACAAGGCCCCTGCCATGTCGTGTGGTCTACATTGACGAGCGCCCTTCCGTCAGTCAATGAAGACTATCAAATCCGTCATGGACGATCATGCGGCAGCGTGTACATACATACACTGATCCGTGTGGGCTAGAGCTAGGGACCTTGCATCGTTGGAGTGCCTGCGCAGATGGCTGTTCGCGTCAACTTCTTTCCAAACTTTTCAAGGTCTCGACGTTTAAAAGTGTTAATCTGCCAAGCAGGGTGGTTTAGAAGTTATACCGTTTCGTATAAAGGGGCCAAGGTCTCTGCCAACTTGGTACTTCAGCATATGTTGTTTTCTGTTTGGCTACTTTTGCCGTCAATAACCACAAGACGTCTCTTTTCCCCACATTGGAGGGGAAATTTTAATATCCCTTCCTTTTCCTTCACACTCTTGCAAAAAGAACTCAAACGCTATGTGGAGGCGAAGGGGGGCAATGTGGACCCCGAATTTCTCTCTCATCTACCCTCCAGGGTGAAAAAGATGCGACATGAGGAGGAACTGGCCGCTTTGTCGGAGGCTGAGCGCCAGGACGAACTGAAAGCCCGTGAGCGGCAACTGGCCGAGATCAGCGCCCTAATGCTCCAACGTCCGGACCAGTTTGGTGAGGTCTCACTGGCAGATATCAGCCAGCAAATGTCCTCTCTGTACGCATAAAGCGTGTTCTGTCTCCTGCGTTCAGCCGAACATTCATGGGTGTGTACTTACTGGCCACCAACGCTCTCTTTGTCATCGCTGCTGGATGTCATCTGTAAGATTCGCCTGACCCTGCCTCCACGACCACCCACCTCGTCTGTTCTACCACTACCTGTGGTTGCCCAGCACTCGTATTTTGTAAATAGCGTCACTTTCATCATACACGTTCGAACACTCATGAGGACATAAAGCATCACTTCCGTCTGCCTTCATATGCTCTTGATCATTTTAATTTTTACGTAATCATTTTATAACCACTTAATTGTGCTGTGCTGTCTACCTTGCCTCCAATGTCAAGAAAGTTAAATCCTAAACAAAGGTGATTTAATTTTTTTTGAGACCTGGCTATTGACGACCCTCGATGGAGTACGTTTGCCATTTCGAACTGCCGTAGGAGTGCCTATTCAACTCTGCTTGGTAGGCGAGCGGAAGTTCGCATTTAGGTAAGGTACGGACTCTTCAAGTCCTTCAACATCATGGTCTTATACAAGCAGGCGTGACATGCTCCTGTTAGGTTTCTGTCCTTAGCCTAACCAGTGGAGTTCATGGCAGAGTTCGTAGAAGTATGAAATCAGTTGTCGCACACTGCTCCAGCGCCTTACTGGACTAAAAGTCGGATGAACAGAGCCGATTGGGCGGCTTTTCTCTATGGTGGGACACACTGTTAGTTGGCGCTGGAAGAGGCGAGGGACCAAACTGGTTCAGAGCCGTTTGAAGGTCATGCTGCCGATTGGTCAAACAGACAACTTTGCCAGCCTAAATGCCGCATGCGTGCAAGTCTCGGCACACGGGACAGGAAAGCTAGCTTAATCTTGAGAAGTACTTTATCGCATATTTGGTGCAGTTGTATTCATGCTGTATCCAGCCGGCCTCCGCGATGCGTGACGATCAGTGATGTTGGCGCATCTAGAGGGGACTCGCTCTTTGGCGACGAAAACCGAATAACGAAGGTCTAAGAACCACTTCCATGTTTTGGCGAGTTGTGTCGAGCTAGACTTTGATTTGATCTTTTCGCCGCCAAATCGAGGAAAGCCACAGCGACGACGAGGATCGGGCTCAAACCACCTTAGTTGTCTTTCTTGGAGGGTCGAAATGCCCTCGCGGTGTTGTCGCAACGAATGCGTACTGCTTCAGTTGGAACCAAGTCATTGCACTGCACCCGAAAACTGGTTCGTAGACAGCAGTGGTCAAATAGTTGGAGTTTTCGCTCAGCATTCACGTGCACGACTGGGAATTCGCAACTGTACGGGCGGACTGACCGAATACACACGAAGATTTGTGGCATTGCAGATATCGTCTCGAGCCCATAGACACATTCTAAGGACTGTGAAAACCCCGCAAGTTAAATCGGTTGGGAGACGACTTCGTCCGTGTCACATGCATTCGGCAGCATTTTCCTGAGGCGTTGTTTGAAACTTAACTCCCTTAAGCTGACAGCCATCAATCCCGCGGGATGCGCCCCTCCTGGTCAGGGATGTATCACTTATGGATAAACTGATCCATTCAGTGACCTAATTTACCCGCGACACCACAGTTAAAGGAGACTTGAATAGCATTTTCTGGCTTATTAGCCGCCACTAGCACTCGTATGATTGGGTATTCCAGATAAAAACAAGCAGGAAGCAAGCCCGTGGTGCATCGACGCAAATGCTAGCGCATGATCCGTGAGATAAGGACGGTGCAGGCAGCATCCTCAAGGCAGAAGAATTGCCAAGTCATTACCCACAGAGCAGGCTGTGTTCAGGCGTTAGCCCACTCTAATGCTATATCGGACGAATCTGGGTGTAAATAAAGATAAGCGGATAAGAAACGAGAACGCTATGGTGCTCTGGGAAGAGGCTGCTGCTGCTGCTGAAGAAGAAGAAGAGAGTCGGTGCAATGAAAAACGATCTGTATAAGTGCTCTCATCGTTCCGAGGCCAAGATTTAACAGCCCTATGTTGAAAGTTAGGGAAATAAGCAGTTTGGCCGCGCAAAGCAGTCAAAAGGTCTGTAAGCATGTGGTATGCCAGTAACAGCAAACTATAACCCTCGCAGCATGGTATGCGCTGGCAGATCCCTGACACCTGGTAGATGTGCATGGCTGCCCAGTCGTACTCGACGCTCTGGTCCCTGTTGGGGTGTTGTTGCTGTTGTTGGCGAGAAATCCTGGCCATTTGGTGTGTGGACCCGGGGGTGTAGTGGCACACCTAGGTGCGAGTCCGGTCGTGCCGGCCACCTGCGCCGCCCCCCCCCCCCCACCTCTGCTCTTGACTCTGTCTTGACACCGGGTCCAGGTGGGAAATGGGGAAGAGAGGGTGCGACAGATGCTGCCTACTATCACTATAAATTAACTCACGCGCAGGTCAACGTCCCGGTTATCACCTTGCGGTGGAGCACACGGTAGACATCGTCGGCACCGACGGTTGAACTGTCGTAAATAAGGCGAGCAACCGCATGTCTATTCAGAACTATATGCTGGATGAAGCAGACCTCGCACAGGCGCGCCGCCGGTTTAATCCAAGACAGATTATATCAACCGATCTATACCAACAGGCGGATACGAGCGAGTCTGTTTTGTCCTGTCCTGTTTACATCAACATGAGGGCCCGAACGAAAGTCGAGTTTGGGGCTCTTAAATTTCTTCAGAAATTTATCTCTTACATGGGGTTGATCCGTCTATTTGAGACTCACCGGCTCAGATTGAAGTTTGATATAAATGCAGTAGATGTGCTAACTCATGAAATGTCAACCAAAATTTCGAAATGCGTTCTCATTTCCAAAAGATTAATTAAGTAGTGTTGTAAAACTAAACATGGTGCAGCATAAATCTATAATGATCCAGTTACCTCAGGGTGTCGGCTTTCGACGGAACTTATTTTCGGCTGCATGCAAGATCTATACTCTGCAAAAAATGACTACTTATGTAGCATGCAATTTTCTCATTGATTTTCGATGCCCTTGAAAATTCATTTGTATTAAATGGAAAACATGCATAAAAATATTCATTCTCTTACTTATCCGGTAGAAAATCACGTCTTCTTCCAATTTCATACTCAAAAGAGTATAATTCGGTTTTAAAAAACTTTTATAATTCCCGAATAATTTGGAACCCGACCTGCTGTTATACTTGCATTCAGGGTTTCAAAACTACAAGCTGTATATTTTCCGTGTACGGAATACCATGCATTTCTCTACGATGTTAAGAGATGACCATATGAGGTTCATAAAATTAAGCAGTGGATTTGAGCAATATTGTTAACTTTACAGTGCAGAAACATGACGTTTCATGAACGGCCATTTAACGGTATTAAAAAATCTCACAATTAGAAACTTTTTTGAAACCGCATTCTACTCTTCTTTTGAGTATGAAATTGGAAGAAGACGTGATTTTCTACCGAATAAGTAAAAGAATGAATACTTTTATGTATGTTTTCCAGGAAATATGATTGAATTTTCAAGGGCAACGAAGATCAATGAGAAAATTGCATGCTACATAAGTAGTCATTTTTTGCAGAGTATAGATCTTGCATACAGCCAAAAATGAGTTCTTTCGAAGGCCGACATCCTGAGGTAACTGGATCATTATAGATTTATGCTGCATCAAGATTAGTTTTACAACGCTACTTAATTTATCTTTTCGAAACGAGAACGCATTTCGACATTTTGGTTGACATTTCATGAGTTAGCACATCTACTGTATTTGGGCCTAGATCTATCAGCCGTAGCGAAATAACTGCAGGATATTAGTAAAATGCCAACAGGTAGCTAGAAGTATATACATTGGTAGCACGACATACCTTACTTGGCAGCACAGGTATTAATCAGAAGGCCAGACACGTGTTCCACTGATGTTTCGCGGCTGCGAGGGGTTCCGCTCATCAGTGGCTCCCTCAGAGTTCCCTGTGCCAAGGCCTGGGCTTGTGCGTAACTTCGGGTACTTAACTACCTACCTACCTAATTATCAAGTACTTTCTGGTGTATTTATGGTCATAAGTAGAATCGGGAGTACATTTCTGCCTCGTTCCAGGGATCATGTCCAGCAGTAATGTCGCAACATAACTTTAAATTCCCAAAATGTAGGTCGACCAACCAAACAATGCTGAGGGCCATATTAGTTAGGGGGATACTGGTGCAACTCATTACGACTCTTGTTGCCTTGGCAGCGTTGCGTCATCGGAATCAACGACCTCCACAGTGCCCAAAGGGTAACTAACATGGTTTTTGACGTCTTTATCTCCTCTTATTGTTGATCTTGTAATTGCTCCCACTCTGCGTGCATTCAGTCTGCAAAACGGACTTAGCTGCCTAGTCCTAGGTAGAATGGGCGGAGTAGACTCTCATTGTTAAAGCGCCCTTGGCAACAGCGACCTTAATGGCCAATTTTTTTAATCAAAAACTTCCTAAAATACGGTGCCACGCTAAAAGCTGTGGGTGGAGTCCTGGGGCCTGAAATAACACTGTGCAACTGGAAAGCAGGCGATTTGGCCGTGTGCTGGGAAATTTAATGGAACTGGACACGCCTTAACTATCATCACACAGTCCACAGGACTGCGTGAAAGTGACTTCATATTGCTCCTTCTCTGGGTATGTTTGTCCTCTGTTGCTGTGGTAACAGTTTGCATTGGAGTTACGCCTGTGGAACGATATTTTACAGGGTAAATATCACCGGGTAACTGCTGATTGCAGACAGGAGACGGCAGTATCTGTTCTGCCGTGTCGACACCCGGATTAATGAGAGCTGTTGGCGATACGACCTCCTGCAAGGTTTCTGGAGCCAAGGCTAGGACCTGTCCCCCCATGCGTCGTATAAACAATTTTTTAAGTGGGTTTGAGGCAGTTATGGTCATGGCCTCAAGCAGTCCTTGACTTTCCACCTTTTAATTTCAATTGCTCACATTCCCCGGTGTCAGTCTTCGCACCCCTGAAAGTCCTTATGCATTGATAATGAGACGCGTCGTTCAAGCGATCAGTTTTCCGCAA